TGAGCTTCCTGCTCCTTCATGGTATGGATATTGACCTTTCCTGTCAAAAGTTCAGGGCCAATCCGGGATAAAGTTCTGACTCCAGTCTGCATCGTTTCTGGTGTGCAGATACCAGGCACAGAGGCAAGCTTTGAACAAGAGGGTGTGTGATTTTTAAGCTTTTAGAAAAATATTCCTATTGACCCTTTTAAGGAGTGTGAAAAGCTCTCTGGCATTGGGTGAGCTCAGTCTATCTTTGATTGAATGTCTATTCTCCTTGTATCGTTATGAAAAAATATTAAAGTGTCTAATTCTTCAGTTTCAAAGCATGGTACCCACAAGAACATAGCATAGTTTCCAATCTGTTTATTACTGAAAAGTGATAGTGTAGAATTGGGGCAATTATCCACATAATAGAAGCAGACGACCCTTAATCACCATTTTATCCATTTATCAAAAGCTAAGGTGATGTTGGCCTGATTTTATGGGTGAGCCACGTCCGGTTCTATGTTCACTTTGTATCAGACCTGGAGAAATTTCCATTCCAATCTTATAACCACCACCCTAATGCCATCCTTTAATACATCTCTTTAACTTCATACTGTGCACATTTTTTACCTTGAGTCTTAAAAAGTGTTTGCATAGTTTTACTTTAGAAAGCCATACTAGATAAACCACAAAGTTGAAAATACAGACAGGCAGCCCAGACACGTGCATGGTAGTCGGAGGATCCAAAAAGAACAGTTTTTAAAATCAAGATTCGAGTCAAGTTATTTACTTCCTACTGGTAAATTGCACTCATTATGAAACTGAGACATCAAGTCCGTGTTGTGAGGATTAATGAGATCACGTTGGTTAAGTGCTCTGAACCCTCTGGAGAATAAGTCTGTCATTTTACCACCTAGGTATATGATTTAAAAAAAGAAATCCAGTTTTCTTTGATGCACAAAGTATAGAATCAGCCAGAAGCCTTTATTAATCTTTCTTACATCTCTTTAGTAACTGATGTTATTAGAGGAGACAGTGTTTTAAACCAAGGCTAAGAGTGAAATAAAGGCAAATAACAAAGAGGTAAATAAGAATTGATTCCTGTCATTTTTACCCAATACATTAACCTTACAGCCAAATTTCACCAAATTCATCTGTTAGTCTATATGATAGAACAGAATGAGCAAGAAATTTAAGATAAGACCAAATTGGATTCAAGTTCTGGTTCTACTGGATAGATGTCTCTCTTTAAACTTCAATTTCTGCATCTAAAAAAATGCAATGGCAAGCTTTCTTCTAGTAATTACAATGTAAGTAATTCAGATCCGCACTCCTATTAAGAACAAGCAGAACAGCTGAACAAAATATTTATAATAATAATCAAAGAGATTACAAGATACTGAAGAATGACTGGACCAAAATCTAAAAGACAAGATTCCAGAGAGGTAAGGCCAAAACTCAAAGCTACTTTTTGCTCTGAAGTCATCTGCTGATCTAGAAAAAATATAAAATAGCAGCAAAACTGAGAAAAGCTTTCAGCAACCTTAGAGACTAAAGAGCAAAAAAGGTAAAGCACAGACTCTAAGGAAGCTGGGGACTCTGATAAACCACTCCCTGTCCAACCTGGAACCTTGTACCCTTGGGGTGCAGGGACCTGGAAGTCACCCAGTCCTCCGACAGACCTGCAGTGCTCTGGTTATCCCAGAGAACCTCAGAACTTAGACTGGGATTGATAGATTCCCTTAGCCCTCTGGAAGCACTTCCTGTCTTTGTTAATGACAGCTCAATAAGCAGTCATTCATAATGCAAACTTTTATGTTGAATGTACCTTTCATACATGTGTTAATAGTTCACATATAAAAGGTTTCTTAACACAATAACACCTGTCTTTCAGGCTTATGATTGGAATTTCATGAGACTGTTGATATCAAGGATTCAGCATAATGCTGAGATAGTCTTATGTATTAGCTGTAAGAACATCAAAGTTATTTTAGGACATGTGTTCCAAAGTTTTCCTGAAATAGTAAGTTGGAAGAGTTCACTATTTTATATTTGTGAATCTATTTTAATACCTCCATTCCTGGATGTTGAGCGGATGATGTGTGACCAATAGTAGCCAGATGCTGGAGAGAGTAGAAAAGACGTATAAGAATGATGCCTGCCCCTTGAGGGGTGCACTTGAGCTGTAGCTGAAGGAAAGGAATGAAAACACATCAAGGAATTAGAGAAACAGTAAGGACGCAGAGATGATGGTGTGAGGAAAGTAGGACTTCAACTGGGAGTGAAGGGGGAAGGGCACTGGAAACGCCAAGGAAGGAACAGAGATGATGTTGCCCAAGGGGTGAGGATCTAACGCAGAGGACAGGAGGAGAGGGAGCACCAGCTGGAAGATAACAGCTAGTGTGTGCGTTGAATTTCTACTGTGTGTTGTGCACTATTCCACATGCCTTACAGATTGATAAGGCCACCAAAAGCCTTATCAAAGCCTTATCATTGGTCAGATGATAAATTGAGGCTTAAATGGCCACACCACAGAGCCTGTAATTAAGTGGTGATGCTAGAATTTGAAGCAAGGTCAGGAGGACACCAAAACCTGTGCTCTTACCAATGAACCCAGAATGCATTTCATTTGGCTCATTTTCTGGAAAGCCTGGTGAGAAGGCAAATGTGGATTATAGGCAAAGGGGAGCCAACCGCTATGGGTTCTTGAGGAAGGAAGTCAAATGCTAAGAGCAGTTTTTTAGAGCAATGCCTCCAATCTTGACATGAAAGAACAAACAGAATTTGGTTATGACCAAATAGAAGATTGTGGGCTGTCTCCAGGGTTTGATGTATTCTGGTCTTCGACCAAAGTGGGTGGTTGTGAGAACAGACAGCAACGGGTGAATCCAGAAATCAGTTTAAAAGAAGAAAAGGAGGTTATGTTGACATTGGCTTGACAGATGAGGGAGAAAGAAAAGCCAAAAAAAAAAATCTCAGAGAGAAATAGAAAAAAAATGTAACATTGACAAACAGACAATAGACAGGGAAGCAACCTCTATGAGAAGACAGGGAATTTGGGTTTGAATGTGTTCAGTGTGGGGTGATGGCAGGACACCCGAGGGCGGGCTTATCATACGTGTTGAGAAACCCTCGGATAAGAGAACACAGCAAGAGGCCTGTGCAGCAGCAGAGTGTACGAAGCACAAGGGGGTCAGTAAAATAACTTATTATTTTGTAAAGACTCAGAACTTCTTATAGGAAACATACACCCTAAGTACAAGATGATAAACAATGACGAAGTTTTCTCCTGTGGCCACTTTGCCTAAATTTCTTGTCATCTCATGGTTTCTTCTCAGTCTGCACTAACTACTAGGCATGCGTGTCATCGCACCGCCTCCACTTCTTAATTCCTGCCCATGTTTGTTTGCCTAGATGTGTCTGTGTCTTTAATCCTGTCCTCCTTTTGTGCTGTGTCAATAATAAGGACACTAATGACTAGACTCTATTTTGCCCTGTACAGCACTGATGGGTATGATAGTCCTGGACACCGTGTTATTTCACAAGAAACATGAGATTAAACTCAATTACATTGAAGATTAAACCCTTAAAAGTCAGCCTTTCTAATGAAACTGACCTCGCAACTCTCTTTGCATCACCTTTGTTACCTTACTTTGGGTAAAGGCTGAGCTACTATTTTTCAAAAAAAAAAGCAACTTCAAAATATAGGGGTTCAAGAGCATGGAATTTTATTTTTCACTTGTGTCATAGTTCAAAAGGAGCAGTTACGATCTGGTGGGGTGGCTCTGACATCCTCAACTCATGGCTTCCATCTTGGAGACGCAGGTGGCTGTGACATACCAGAAAGGGGAAAAGACAGGAAGGAGGGTGGTGGCCTTCCTTTTTTTTTTCCCCCAAGGAATTGACACAGAATGTATGCACATCACTTCTGCTCACACCTCATTGCTCTGGACTTAGTCATATGACTCAGGGCTGGTTCAAGGGAGGCGGGAAAATAAGGCTTCTAGTTGGGTGGTCTTGCATCAGCTTTTTAAAATGGGAGGGTGACTGCGGAGATCAGGGTCCCATTACTAAAAGAGAAAAGGAGAATGGATTTGTGGGAACAATTAGCAGACTCCATCATGTCTGGGTTCAGATCCCCACTCCTCAACCAGCTGTTCTTTTCATTTAATAAGACCTTCTTCTCCAGGTGTTAAACTAATTTTTAAAGCAGCAAATTCATTTTGTGGCATTGTTTGCAAATGTAACATATTGCTTTTTAAAAGAGCTGAAGGGAGAGCTGCTTTGGTCGTAATTAGGAAGTGAGGGGCTGGAAGGAGCATCTGCGTCAGCTCAGGTCCCCACCCGACTCACTTCGTGGGAGACCCTTCATTCTAAGCATGCAATTTGGAAACTGCTCTCACACTGTTTATTAGCGCAAAAGAATACGTTGTGCTTCCTAAGCAGTTAGACACAACCAGCGAAAATCACTCTCTCCCATTTAAATAATGAAAAGTCCTCTTCAAGTCTTGATTATATCCATCTTGTCAGCTGGGTGAACACCCATGGATGTGAACACAGAAGCTGTTTCCCTACCTGTCCTGAGAGCACTTCTGACCTCGCAGGACACACTGCCAAGCATGAATTAACAATCGTGTTGATGCAAAAATTAAAAGGGAAAGGATATTTCTGTGACTCTTCCCCACAAATATAATCTTGACAAATAGAATAATCTTGTTTCATTAGCTAATAAACTGTCTAGATTGGAATAGCATGTAAGGGCAGAAATGAGCTCAAATTATGCCTAATACTCCTGGAAATAATGTTTTATTTTCATTTTAGGAGTGTAAGAGAGAAAAAAATAAAACAAGTCCCAATAGAAAAGTCTACAGAACTAAACAAACAAACAAACAAACAAACCACCAAAGAAGTTTTCATTACAGCCACTAATTCCATGAGTTTCATTACTAAAATTTAAGAAAACATGGCAAACACCTTGACCATGTAATGTAGGGCCATGTCTGATTATTTCAAGTCCTCGGAGCTGAAACTCAGCCATGAAGTTCATCAGGCTTTCTAATTTTATCAACTATTTTTTGTACTATTATCATTTGGAGCTTATAGTCTATGTTAGATACATTAGGAAATAGAATAAGTTTTATTATAGACAGTTTTCAAAATGCCCTGCTTTTTATTTTTTACATTCATGCCATAGTTTCTCATCTATTTGTCCATTTCCTGATAAAAGTTCCCAGTGAGAGACTCTCTTTCTTGAAATGTCCATGTTTAAGGTATAAGTTGTTTACGTTTCAGATTTCTGGATGTGGGAATACGTTATTTTCAGCTATTTGTTAATAATACTCCCAGGATGAGTTCAAACTGGGTCATACCAATGCTTGTTAAGGGAAGTTCTTTGCAGAACAATCTCACTCCCTAAATTAAC